GAGTATTAGTTCATTATATTACGCACGGCTAAAACCACTTGAAAGGAAGAGGCGAAATGCAATCATTTGGACTCTTCGTGAATATGCTCTCTATCTTTGTTATTCTTATAATCAAACCCGGGTTAGTATAGGAAGAAGTGAATAGAGATTATGTCTATCCTTTGATTTGCCACATCTAAGAATACTATTATTATCATCATTATTATTATTATCGTTAATATTGAGATTCAGTTTCTCGTACTTTACAGAATGCAACTATTCAATAATTCAAATGTAAATTATGATTTTTGGCGATTGTCTGTTTGGTTGGTTAAACTGACGAGTGTACGCGAAAATCAAGTCTAAAGCACGGTCATGGCAAATCAATACTCATTAACTACCTTTTCAAAATGACAACGTAATAGTCTGTGGTAGGGAAATTGCGTACATTTTCCCTTATCCGTTGCAAGACGGATAAGATAGTCTGAAAATGTGCGAAACCAGAATTCGTAGTCAAATCGGATTAGAGTCCGTCCGTAATGCCACAAAAATTGAGATGTTTGGATAGATTCGAAAAAAAGCAATTACCGGAAAGCTGGAGTATATAGAGAACCTTTGAGAGTTCAGTTATTGTAAAGATGTTCTTACTTTGTATTTCTATTTCCATTACATGTGTAAGCCTATATGCCTTATATGCTTACATTTCAGTTAAAAATATGCACTGGTTTCAAATGGAATGAGATATACAGACCCATATAACATGTATCATAAATACTATCGCTTAAGTTTGTTTCATGTACGAAAATACGGACGTAATTCATTTGCTACTTATTCACTATTGGTTAAAGTTGGGGAATTTTTATAAATGGTAATACAAGAGGGAAAATGCCAAAATGAGAAGCCTATAGACCGATGGGAACAACAACATGATAGGTCGGGATGCAGTGAACGGATAGGGTAGTCAGGAATCTTATTGGCAAATTTAAGACAAGAATTGACGTGACCATGAATGGGTTCTGTGATTATTGGATCCATTGAGACTAATGATGCGCGACTGATTATCACCAAACCAGGACTAATTGTTCAGAAGTCTTGTTTTAAAAGGCCGGAAAACACTACCGAGGAGCAGTAGGGTAGAATGGGGAAAACGCATTGGTGAAAGCAAGCGAACAAGATAGACTATAGTTTCGGAATTGCCGGAGTTTGTATAACCGAAAAGAGAGGCGTCTCGATTTTACCACCTAGTCGTAAATGTGTGTGTGTGTGTGTAATTGTGAACCTTTGGAGATTACTGTCGATGATGACACCCAAATACTTTACTGATATCATTCTGGACACAGGTTTACAGTTATTGGTAGCAGAGTCCTCAGGAAATGAGACGTGGAATATATTTTCAGTGAAAGAATCGAATTCCGAAGGAGATGGAGTTTTCTGGCACAAAAGGACATTGTCAGTATGCCTTTGGATGTGTGCAGGGGGATTACGGCTTCCTCGCTTTTCAACCACCACCACCATCATCACAATAACAACAACAACAATAATAACTGATATTCTCATGAGTAAATATAGAGAAAACGTCTTTGGTTAATTGAATACGCATTGATTATTGAAATGGAAGCAAACAAAGGAAGTGAAGGAGAATCTCGGAGCTTGTAATTCGGTAAGGAATACTCCAAGTGTATCACAGAGCATGTCTTGGCAAGAGAAATCGTTGATCAGATGGTTAATACAGCGTTTTCGCTCATGGGCAGCCAATCTTGGACTAGTTAACCGTTTCCGAAGCGCTCTCATTTGAGTGCTGAGATAGTACAACTGGTAAAGTTTCAGTGTAATCGATATAGATTGTATTAACTGTACTTCACTCGCAGAAAACTCACTGATAAATCAGTCCTAGTAAAAAATAATCGTATTAGTGGTATTACTATTATTACTAGTAGTAGTTATTGTGATGGTAGTAGAAGTATTAACTCTGTAAACTTAAACTATTGAAATCAACTAGATTAGTTTTCACACGACGCGTATTATTTCCTGCTGAAAACCAACATCTAACGTAAACAAAGATTCCTATTGACTGTAAATTATCGGGAGAGGTGAAATCAGCACGGTTGACTAAAGGCGTCTATTCACGTGAACCCTGTTGATCTCGTGGACGGGACAACTACATTTTTTGACAAACAATACATTCAGTTGCAAATGTATTTGTTTGTGACTTTTGAACACACAAATCATTAATCTAGACGGTTCAATTCTCATATAAA